TTGATCGCGTTCACGAAGAAGGAATTTTCGCCTGGGCAGAATGTTTAAATAGCCATCTTTGCGATTTTGGGTCCATTTTCCACCATTGTTGAGCGATTTTGGAGCTTTTTGAGAGGGATTGAAGAGGGAATAGAAGGAAAACACTTGGAGGTAAGATTTTTGAACTCAATACTCGATTCTATGACAATTTCTAGCTAATTAAACATGAAATTTGTGGAATCTAAAGCCAAAAATAGGGGAATTAGGGCTTGAAATTGGAGACTTTGATTTGGGGATTTGAGGGGTCGTTTGTGGTCGAAATTTGATATATTTGATATGTATGAACTCGTGAAAGTATAAGGATTCTAGTTTTTTGATTTTTATCGCAATCCGAGACGTGGGCCCGGGGGTCGGGTTTGGCCAATTTCGGGTTTTTTTGGTGTAAATTGATTATTTTGAGTAGGCTTTGTTCCCTTAGCATATTTTGATGGTATGAATCTGGTTTTGGTTAGATTTGGAGCATTCGGAGGCCGAGTCGAGAGGCAAAGGAATCGCGGCTAGAGTTTGGACCGGATTGAGGTAAGTAATGATTGTAAATGTTGTCCTGAGGGTATGAAATTCCGGATTTCACATCGTTGTGCTACTTTGAGGTGACGTACATGCTAAATGACGAGTGTGGAGTTGTGCACCATTGAGGATTTTGACTTGGTCCGTCCCGTACGACTGTTAAGTCGCGTATTTGATTAAAACCTGTTAATATCATTGTGTTTTGGAAATTATTACCATGTTTGGGGCTGAATGTCATATTTGGGCCTCGTGCGAACTGTTTTGGATTCTTAGGGTTTTTTTAGTGCTATTCCACACTGTTTTGACTTAATATCTATATTTAGTCATGTTGTATTTTACTATTTTCATAACTCAGCCGTATTTACTTCGTTTTGATATTTTTAAATGATATTTTGGGCTGAGCATCATGTTTTACTGTTGCTCAAGTGGCTAGAGAGATTTCTGACTGAGTGAGGCCGAGGGCCTGTATTGTGAGGATATCATGGGATCGGGCTGCGCGTCGCAGCATGTGTACTAATTGTGATATATGAGAGGCCTCGGCCTGATTTGTTATGCCACGAGATGGCTTGTGATAGCGCTTGGGTTGTAGGAGCCCCTCCGGAGTCTGAACACCCCCAGTAAGCGCGAGTACCCAGTTGTGAGAGATGTGATATTGCCTGAGGGGCTGTTGTTGTTTCATGTTATTGCCTGAGGGGCTGATTACGAGTGATTGTGAGGTAGCCCAAAGGGCTGGTTGTGTTGATATTTTGCCCGAGGGGCGGTTGAGGTACATGTTTTGCCCGAGGAGCTGTTTACGTTTCTATCATTTTACTCACTGTTTTCATCACTCGTTTGAAACTATTGAAAGCTGTTTTAAAAGGTTTTACCGAACTGAGTTGCTTTTACAAATTTTATTACTTTATTGCATTGTTCTGGACTTATACTGTTTTGTTGTAGCGTTATGACGTGGTTTACGTATTTTTTATTGCTCAGCTGCCTTTACTTTTATTACTTACTGAGTTGGAGTACTCACATTACTCCCTGCACCATGTGTGCAGATCCAGGAGTCTCGAGTCGCGAGTGCTAATCAGCCTTCCAGCAGGCCTCCAGAGTTGACTAGGTAGCTGCTTGGCATTCGCAGCCCAGTACGTCTCCTTCCTATCTTATTCAGCTTTGTATTAGCATTTGTTTTCAGACTATGTTGTCCTTTTCTTATTCCTAGACGAGTTGTAGTTGCTCGTGACTGGTGACACCCCGATGTCGGGCGTGTGTTATATTTCCGCACTGTTATTTTAATTTATGCTATGGGATTTAGCTAATTACTAGCTTTAAATAACTTATTATAAATTTTTGGTTAGTGTTGGGGTTTGTGTCGGCTGGCCTAGTTTCACGTTAGGCGCCATCACGACCGGGTCAGTTTTAGTGTCGTGACATTAAAGTAGGGACTCAAAGGTGAAAAATCAAACTCCCACCAACATAATAGAAATTAAGATAGCAAACCAATTAGCTGCCATAATTCCTGAGAAGATTCTTCATTTCAAGACAACATAAGGAGTTCATCCAAGTCAAGTGGGCACACCCCATCTTCGACCCGTTTGAAATTCTGCACCAACTTGATCGCCATAATGTCATATTATGACAAAACTTAAATTATTTTCAGGGTATATCCTCCTCCCTGCCCTAAATTCCAAACAAAGGTCACCACTCGTTACATCCATATTAGCACCACTTTCCGCCATCATAAACTGCTTGGGATTGTCAAGTCTTCCACACATCAGAATCATGTTTAATAGACCACATATTAACAATTGTTACTGCATGGAAAAGAACAATCATATTGTTGCTAAGTTGAGTGTCAGATGTAAAAAGCCTCACGCATGAGAGAGGTGAACCTGGAAGATGAACTCTTAGAATATTCTTCACTACTGCTTGCAAATATGGCATCCGAGTAGTGTTAGTATCAATCACAAGTTTTTCTAATGTTTCATTATGACTTCTTCTTACAACTTTTTTTGCGCCTCTTTTACACCTCTTGTGCACATATTTTGCACTTCACTTCCTTCGTGCAATAATAAAATTATAACTCGCTAAGAAACCCAAATAACTATAAAAAAAATTGTTACACATGAATTTATATGCCTTTGTATATTCTATGTGTAAAAAGTATTCTCATGGTCGGTTCCCAACATGCATTTCAGTCAATATTATAGATTATATCTACCATTTGTGTTGTATGTAAAATCTAAAATAGATAACAAAAAGGTGGACTTAATAAAGAATAGCTACCATTCATCTTCTTCTAGTTTTTCTTTTCCATCGAGGGACAAAAGAACGTCAACAAAATTAGTATTATCATACAACATTTTAGGTTTAATTTGGCGCTTGCAATCGTCAATGATGCCTTTACTTTAGAAAAAAAACAATGATAGCAGCAACAACATACATTAAATCCTAAAATGGAACATTTCTCTGAAGGGCCATAACAACGAGAGGCCTTTTTTTTTTTTTTACTTTTTGGTATTTTACATGAATGAGTGAAAGAAAAAGTTAAAGTAGGGACTAAAAGGTGGAAATACAAACTCTCACCAACAAAGTAGAAATTAAGGTAGCAAACCAATTAGCTATCATAATTCCTGAGAAGATTTTTCGTTTCACAAGACATCATAAGGAGTTCTTCCAAGTCAAGTGGGTAGACCCCATCTTCGGCCCGCTTGAAATTCTGCACCAACTTGACCACCATAATATCATAATGACCAAACTTAAATTATTTTCAAGGCATATCCTCCTCCCTGCCCTAAATTCCAAACAAAGGTCACCGCCCCTTACATACATATTATCACCACTCACCATCATGAACCGCTCGGGATTGAACTCAAGTCTTCCGCACATTAGAATATGTATATAGATCACATATTGAAGTGTAGTATTGTGAACTTCCTCTTGCAACTTTTTTTCGCCTCTTTTGCATGTCTTTTGCACTTCATTTCTTTTGTGCAATATTAAAATCATAACTTGTTAAGATAGCTCAATAGCTATACAAAAGTTGTTACACATGATTTATATGCATCTATATATTGTATGTGCAAAAAGTATTCTTACGGTAGCATAATTGATCGGTTCACAACATGCTATTCAATCAATTTTACATATTATATCTATCACTTGTGTTGTATACAAAACCTAAAATATAGACAGCAAAAAAAATGTACTGACTAAATAATAGCCACCTTTTCTTTTCCATCGAGAGATTAGAACACTTACAAAATTAGTATAATCATACACCATTTTGGATTTAGCGTGGCACTTGTATTCGTCAGTGATGCCTTTGAAGAATCTTCTAACATGGAGCACAAGAGCTTCGCAAAAAAAATCTCGAACTTACAATAATAACAAACAGAGTGAGAATTCCACAAGTGGGTGTGGGAAGGAAAAAAAGATAACGGGCCTATATATACATACGGGGTGCTCAATCTTACGTTAGTAAATTAAGCTTGTGGTTATTCGAGCTATAAAATGTACTTCAAAGTTTCAAGATATGACAATCATGGTATAAAAATCCTTATTATTTTATTGCATTTGGTATGGAGTACAAAGTTCTGAATTTTTAGCTAGCGTTTGGCCATATATTCCCAAATTTATTTTAAAAAATTTGATTTGGGTGAATTTTGGTTTGAAGATGAAAATTTTGTTAGACATCATTTTTCAAAATATATTTCATTTTTAAAAAAAAACATGAAAGATGACTTATATTCATAAGTTCTAAAAACTATCAAAAATACCCAACAATAACCAAACAAATAAACTTGTTAATCATGTATATGCAGAACCTTCATCGATGCCATTCATTATCATTATCACAAACCATAGTCCTCGCCATAGATAAGTTTGGCACAAAATCATTATTTTTGTAATGAACTACATAATACACTATCCTAAAACTATAACCTGATATTTTAATATCAACTTCTAATACACAATCACTAGCTACTACAATTTGTTAAATTGGAATAATATTAGTTGGATCATAATAGGTGGTGTGCTTTTTTATAAAATACAAAAGTTTAGGGTAATTTTTGTAATTGTTAAAAAATCCAAAGGTAATATTTGGGCCAAAAACAAGTGTAGAACTAGTTTTGGGATTTGGAAAATTTGTTTTCAAAATGTGCTAAAATTTGGATAAAATCTATAAACAAACAGATTTTGCTAAAACATTTTTGGAAAAAACTTGGCAAACTTAGTTAATCTCCGCATAACACCTGTACAACGTTTGGTTTCCGGTATTGTTGTTGATTTGTTGTATGCTTGTCTTCCATGCTTGTACATTTCTCCTTAAACC